TAATTGCAGTGTTCTTAATCTTTATAAGTTAGTAGTACTGTTCGGGTTTACAGTGTGGGGGCGTGTTAGAACGAGCCGTTTTAGGTAGGTGTGGCTGACTCTTAACTTTTATAAAGAATATCTCTTTGGATTTAAAACTTTAGTCTTTGCAACTTTACAGATCTTCTTTATGCACCAAGAGCTTGTAACACTTCAAAGAGAAAGGAAAACTTGAAATCGCATCATATGACCCCTTTAAAAAACGTTTTGCACCGTTTTGTCGGGGCTGAACGCAGCCCTGTTCTTCATGCAATCCGGAATGGTAGCACAGCTGAAAGGTTTTGTTTGAGCTGCGCCCTCTACTGTACAGACGTGAATTTGCCAAAAAATATATTTTTTTATATTCAAAATCAAACAAGCAAGCCCAGCCCAGACCCATATTGTAATGTAATTGACAAAGATAAAAACTGGAGTATTTTCTTATGAAACGGTAAGCTACCTTAGATGTGTTTTAAACTCTAATGACACTACTGGTATAAGGTTGATCTTTTATGAGCGGATTTACTTATTATTTTTCATTAACCTTGAGAACAAAGACAAAAAACTAGCGTGTAATTTCACTCAGTAGAGGTGTGTTGTTGCTTTATCTTAATCTGTATGGTACTTAAAAAACAAAGAGTATTATAAACTTATGAAAAAATGTTTTCCATGTTTGAAAACAAATTTGTGAAAAAACAGAGAGTCAAAGCAGGTCCGTGATGTGAACACTTGAGCAAGTTGCCTGTATGTCTGCAACCGTAGTTATTATACGCGTGTATGAATATATATCTGCAGTAGACTTCAGACAACATTTAAAAGGTAGGCTACTTAAAGTTAAAACCCTGTAATATTGAGTTACTTAATTCATATTAAAAACACAAATCAACACATTCTTACCTGTGAAAATATATCCAGTTTGTTCAGGAATTTTAAATTTAGGCGGTTTTTACAACCAGATGCTCCACAATGTTGTTGCATCTTGAAACTTGTTGCATTTTATCGTGAGTGGCGGACGCGCCAACGTGTCTGGAGCGGTCGAATGTGGCACTCAGTCAGCGTAGTTATCAATGCACATTAGGTGTTAATTATCACTAGAAATGGCTGCAAATATAGTGGAACTGCTGTCTGTCCCGATTAAACCAATTCAAACAGATTGACAGCGCAGAGATGTTTGGAACTATTGAGAGCTCCATGAACCACGTGACCGCGTGGCGGCGAGATCAAAGCATGTCGCAACACGTCACTTAGTTACAATGTTGATAGCAACCACGCATACGGAATGCCTAAATATTCACTGGGGGCTTGAAGCAGACGGAAACATGGACGATCATTCCGCAGATGAAGGAACAAGAAAGGAACCTGAACCATTGTCTAACACAACTGAAATAAAGACAAGCGATGTGTACAAAGTGGAAAATAATTTACCAGCTCGCTTTAATAATCCGGAGTGTTTCAGAGGATACAGGTGAGAAGAGTCATTCAGCCGCAGTGCATCATGTGTGACCTAAATTTATGTAATCGTTTATTTATGATTTTATATATATATATATATATATAATAGACTATCTGACTATTTGATGAATAAAAAGATAAAAAGAACAGCATTTATTAAAAACAGAAATCTTTTGTAACAATATACACTACCGTTCAAAAGTTTGGGGTCAATATTTTTTTTTCTTCTTTTTTTGGAAAGAAATGAATGCTTTTATTCAGAAAGGATGTGTTAAATTGATAAAAAAGTGATAATAAAGACGTATATTGTTAGAAAATATTTCTATTTTAAATAAATGCTGTTCTTTTTAACTTTATTCATCAATTATTCATCAAATAATCCTGAAAAAAAGTATCACAGGTTCCAAAAATATATTAAGTAGCACAACTGTTTCCAACATTGATAATAAATCAGCATATTAGAATGATTTCTGAAGGATCATGTGACACTGAAGACTGGAGTAATGATGATGAAAAATTAGCTTTGCATCACAGAAATAAATTATATTTTTAAAGTATATTACAATAGAAAACAGTTATTTTAATTGGTAATAATATTTTTACAATATTACTGTTTTTTTTTCTGTATTTTTGGTCAAAAAAATGCAGCCTTGATGAACAGAAGATATTTCTTTACAACACATTAAAAATCTTACTGATCCCAAACTTTTGAACAGCAGTTGTGTGTGTGTGTGTGTGTATATATATATATATATATATATGTGTGTGTGTGTGTGTATATGTATGTGTATATATATATATATATACACAGTGTATACATTGTTGATCCCATCTTCATGTAATAGAAATAATAAGCCTCATTATGCTTTCCAGGCAAAAAATGATCAACCCTTTATACCAAACAACAAATCAAACATATGGAAGCAAAAAACCAACAGTTCATGAAATGCCGGTGAGTATGCAGCACACATTGTCCTATTGTTAAGATTATTCAGACAATAGTATTTGCACATATTGTTTTTTTTCAGACAACCTTTAACGGAAGTCGTCGGAAATTTTCTGAGCATCTTCTGAGAAGTGGCATGTACAAGGATAACGGCTTCAACACGGCGCTGGACAAGAGCCGACTCACTGGACCCGATGCAATGACTGCGTTTCACGACAGAATCAATTTCCATTACTTATACCACACAGATGGGAAATCTCAGTAAATACAATCTCCATTTTGTATGTACAGTAATAAACAAGTCAAGCTAAATTGTGATGTATACAAGGATAGTTACTTACCCTCATGTTGTTCCAAACCTATATGACTTTCTTCTGTGAAACATAAAAGACATTTGATGTTTTATGTCAGTGGGTTCAAATGTTGTTTGGTTCCCAACGTTCTTCAAAATATCTTGTTTGGAACAACACGTGATGATGGATTCCAAGACACTTCCTGTTGAATGAATAAGAAACACAACTACGTCAAAAATTTCAATATAGTTTCTTTTATTTGGTGTAGTAGAGTGAAATTCCACAGTAGACCTGAACGTAAATGTCCAGGGAATATTCTCTCAGCGTGTGACGCTCACACACAGTGGAAGCCATCAAAATATAATCCACACGTTTTAGAAGCACTTTGAACCAATATGTGGAGGTAAAGCGGACCAACGTACAATCAAGCGTGTTAAAAACGTAATGCGGTGGGGTTGAAATAAGACAAACCGTGACAACAGCAATTTCAATCACTCGAACCAACCAGCATCGACCTGATTGGTGAAGCGTCCCTTTGGAAACTCGTCAGTCGTTGCTGTCGCTACACTGAGGATACGGGCGGACGGTATTAAGGGTTTTGGTGTTGACTATTCCCTGTTTTTCCTTGGAGCTGTAAGCAGCAAAAATATTGTCCAGAGGGCTGGATTGTCAAGTCCACAAACCTCCAATGTTATTCGTAAAGTAAAAGGCACTTCAAAATGTTGTAACAAAATCCAGTGTATTGTCTTACATCATATACATACATGATCAGAAATGAAGGAATGCAAAGACAGTATAAACCTTAAAGAGAGTGATGTTTTAAAACAGTTTTGCTTCATCAGGCTTATAAAAAGAAAGTAACAAATTCTGAGACTTCATAGGGACGGCATAGATGTCTGGATGTTTCTGAGCAATCTCCAACTGAAAATAGACAAATTGAACACATCAAAATATTATATGAATATTTTGGCAGAAAATGAGTAAATAAGAACAACAATTTGCTGCATGAAATTGTTTATTATCATTATTTGAGGACACATTCTCTTTCAAGAGTGCATTTTATTGGACAACATTTTTATATGCAAAATGAATCATCGATATTTTTGATCTGTTTTTCCAGAAGAGAAAGGGTGCAGATTTTAATATAGAATTTTTATTCTTTCTCTGTAAAACTATATATTAATTTTAAGTTGTGTTTGTCAAGCTACCTAGCATATAGATGATTGCACAGCTAATACACATCAATAAAGCACAAAAACACGCAAAACATTTTTTTCAATAAAATTTAATAAAATTCCATTCAATTTGTATAGCACTCAATATACTGTTAATGCGCAGTATGTAAAAATATTGTTCCAAAGCATCTTTACAGACAAGACAAAAATACAAGATCAATGGAAAATTAAATATATAATTAAAAATAAAATGTTTTAATTAAACAATGATTGAAAAATTAAACAATCTATTCCTATTGGCTCTTTCACACAGATTGAAAAAAAAAAACCGTGATGCTCTTTTTATTTAGGTCAAATTTATTTTTGACCAATTAAAATGACATGTAGGGCAGGTTTCTGAAATGAATAGTCCCAATAGATGCCAAGTTACCGGCTGAAGTGTACAAGGGGCATACTGTATAGAAAAAAAAAGTGATATGATAAGTAACTGTGGACAAAGTGGGGCACAAATGTATTTACTACATATATGTTACTATGTCAACTTAGCTTTAGAGGAGACCAAAGATAAGTGTGTAGAGGTTTTGCAGAAAAAGAAGTGTCATTTGTTGTGTCATTCTTCATGTAAAGCCTAAAGATGGTGAACACTCACCCTGGCGTTCTGAGCCTCTTGGATCTCCAGGACTTTCTGTGTCCGGGCCAAATGATCCATCTGCTCAAAGGCCTTCACTTTGCCCAGGAAAGACCTCTTAGAGGGATCGTCAGGACTGTCCTCCAGGGGTTCACTGTCCCGTACCGGGGGGCTGTTTAAGAGGCCCCTGGAGGTGCGGGACACGTAGGTAGGTTTGAGAGCAGTGGGGGGAGGTGGGGGCTTGGTTTTCGCGGGAGAGTCCTGGCTGCGCGGGTGCTCGCTGCTTTTCCAAGGCCGAGCGGGCGGCTCTCTGTGTATGGCAGCTTGCAAGGAGGCGTCTGGGGCTCTGGTCGCGCACTGGAGCTGGACACAAGGCAAACGCAGCAAGATAAGTGAAAGACTGAGGGACACTTAAAGGGACAGGAAGCAAAAATGAAAATTCTGTCATTTACTCGCCCACTCAGTTGCTGTTAGCCATAGACTTCCATAGTATTTTTTTTGCATACTATATAAGTCAATAGCTACCAACAACAGTTTGGTTAGCAATGTTTTTCAAAATATCTTCGTTTGTGTTCAGCAGAGGAAATAAATTCATACAGGTTTGGAACACGTTGAGGGTGAGTTAATGACGACACAATTTTCATTTTTGGGTAACCTAACCATTTAAGGTACGGTCACATTTATTCAGGAAATTTTTGTAGGTGAAATCTAGTCGGTTTAATAGGAATCCATGCAACTGGGAATTTTACGTGAAGGTGTAAGATTTCACAGCAATTTTGAGTTGGTCATGCCAATTTGCCAGGTTAACCAACAAAAAAGCTGTGTGGTTTGAAAGTAACTACTGTGCGAGCAGTGCTTCATACATTGCTACACCATTGACAATAGACAATACTGCTCCAGACTCTTACCCAATAGGTTGAGGCCTGCTGTGGTCCAGTTTCTGAGACTTCATAGGGACGGCATAGATGTCTGGATGTTTCTGAGCAATCTCCAACTGAAAATAGACAAATTGAACACATCAAAATATTATATGAATATTTTGGCAGAAAATGAGTAAATAAGAACAACAATTTGCTGCATGAAATTGTTTATTATCATTATTTGAGGACACATTCTCTTTCAAGAGTGCATTTTATTGGACAACATTTTTATATGCAAAATGAATCATCGATATTTTTGATCTGTTTTTCCAGAAGAGAAAGGGTGCAGATTTTAATATAGAATTTTTATTCTTTCTCTGTAAAACTATATATTAATTTTAAGTTGTGTTTGTCAAGCTACCTAGCATATAGATGATTGCACAGCTAATACACATCAATAAAGCACAAAAACACGCAAAACATTTTTTTCAATAAAATTTAATAAAATTCCATTCAATTTGTATAGCACTCAATATACTGTTAATGCGCAGTATGTAAAAATATTGTTCCAAAGCATCTTTACAGACAAGACAAAAATACAAGATCAATGGAAAATTAAATATATAATTAAAAATAAAATGTTTTAATTAAACAATGATTGAAAAATTAAACAATCTATTCCTATTGGCTCTTTCACACAGATTGAAAAAAAAAAACCGTGATGCTCTTTTTATTTAGGTCAAATTTATTTTTGACCAATTAAAATGACATGTAGGGCAGGTTTCTGAAATGAATAGTCCCAATAGATGCCAAGTTACCGGCTGAAGTGTACAAGGGGCATACTGTATAGAAAAAAAAAGTGATATGATAAGTAACTGTGGACAAAGTGGGGCACAAATGTATTTACTACATATATGTTACTATGTCAACTTAGCTTTAGAGGAGACCAAAGATAAGTGTGTAGAGGTTTTGCAGAAAAAGAAGTGTCATTTGTTGTGTCATTCTTCATGTAAAGCCTAAAGATGGTGAACACTCACCCTGGCGTTCTGAGCCTCTTGGATCTCCAGGACTTTCTGTGTCCGGGCCAAATGATCCATCTGCTCAAAGGCCTTCACTTTGCCCAGGAAAGACCTCTTAGAGGGATCGTCAGGACTGTCCTCCAGGGGTTCACTGTCCCGTACTGGGGGGCTGTTTAAGAGGCCCCTGGAGGTGCGGGACACGTAGGTAGGTTTGAGAGCAGTGGGGGGAGGTGGGGGCTTGGTTTTCGCGGGAGAGTCCTGGCTGCGCGGGTGCTCGCTGCTCACGGGGCTGCTTGAACGAGAGTCGTAGTATCGAGAGGGGTCGTACTGCCCCCGCGACACCTCCAATTGAGACAGCATTTTTACCTGAAAGACAACTGAATGTGTGTCTACTGAACAGCACTACTGAACTGTATCACATGGTCGGTTTCCCACTACATTTAACCATGGGTTAACCTCTTCCTAAACCACAGGTGAAGGCCAGTTTTAGCACTGGATAAAGTCGTCACCACTGCATTTTTCACACTGAACTCCATGATTCCAAACACAAAACCTACTAACGCAACACTACCCACTAGCAAAATCTCAAACACTAACTAATTGCTCCAGGTTTTCTATAAACACTGCCAAAATACTAAAAACTACTAGTAACACTTTATAATAAGGTTCAATTCGTTAACATGAGTTAATGCATTATCATGTAACAGTTATAGTTCACTAAAACTAAACAATTTTTTTTGTTAATTGCAATAAAGATTAAATAAATTAAAATATAAATATTAGTTGAAAAACCTAAATGTAAAAAAACCTAAAGAAAAAAGTTGAATGTAATAAATTACTGAAACTAAAACTGAAAAGAAAAGGTTAATAGAAATATAAAAAAACTAAACTAAAATATGAAAATAAAAGCTAATTTTAAAAAACTACAGTAGTATATAATTAGTACTAAATACCCTGTCATGAATTAACAATAAACAACAATTTTTATAATATTTATTTATCCAAGTTAGATGTTAGCTGTTAATTCATACATATATGAATATTTTTAACATTTAAAGTTTAATCATGAGCTAATGTATTTTGAAAAATGAATTATAATATAATATAAATTATCACTAAACTAGATTAAAAATACAGTTAATATAAAATATTAATTAACTATTATTTATTTAGTTTATCCACGCTGTTAATTTCTACATATATTAATAAATGTTTTACCATATTTAAAGTTAAATCATGACTTAATGTATTATGGAAAAAAAAATGAATTAATATAACACATTTATACTTACCTACCTAAAAATACTATAAAAATAACATTTTAATTAACTATTGTGACAGAGTTGAACCTTATTGTAAATGCTTAGCCAAACTACTTTACCTCCAGTTAACTTCTTTTACGTTTCTGGCACAGTTTGTTCAAAATGAACTAGATTCTAACAGTTGTTTTCAAATACACTATTCTAGTTATTTAAGCAATCATTTGTTTTAAATGTAAATATTCTTATGTACTGGTATTATTTTAATTCTGAACTTTTATATCCACCATGCCAAGTGGCACACCTGAATTAAACCATACTGAGTGAACTTGCTGTGTTTTATAGACTTTGTGAATGTTCTCATTGATTTGACCAGAGGGACTGGAACACATGCTAAATCTTGTCCGTCTTCCAGCATGCAGAGATGTTTTGAAGCTTTATTACCGCTGTGTGCTTTTCTTTAAGCAGTAGGAGTGGCAGTAAGTCATTCTCCTGTCAGTCAGGTGCATGTGAGATTCGAGGCTCAGGAAGGTCGATAAATCTTAACTTCCACTTGTTTCTTTCTCCCTCATTTTCCCATCTGTCTAAGCTTTCAGCACAGGAATGTCACTCTGTTGCCAGCAAATACTGCCTAGGAATTATTATCCCGTCTGTAGGCGCACAAGAGTAACGTGTATTTTTTTTATATGTGTGTGTGTGTGTGTATATATATATATATATATATATATATAGCTTTTTATTATTTATTACATTTCAATTAACAAAACTGTTTTAGTTTTATTTAACAATTACAACACTGATTCCATGATATTTCCAGGTTTTTCATAACAATAGAAACCCTTATAATGATATTTGCTAGAATAATCATAATTTATATTAGTCCATTCAATAAATATTTAGTGATCAAGAATTTTGTAGTTCCAACATTTAACAGAAGGGGGCAGAAGAGTCTGCTCTTTGCATTTACAGATGCACTGAATGTTTAGCTTTTTTGAGAAAGCATGAAATCCATGTGATTTGCCATGTGAACTCATTATCATACACTTCCTGCATTTACAGCATGTAATGCATGCATGACAAGTGTGAGATTAAAAATGAATTTCCCTGCCGGCTCGACCTCTGCTGTCTTTTCTTGAATACATAGCTGACTTTGTGCTGATCTAGGCAGCTGTGAGGGATGCCATTTCAGCAAGCATGTTTAAGTGTGTAGATGTCAATGCATGTGCATGCAGTTCGCCCATCACTGTGAAAGATGTATGTGTCCATATGTTTTGGAATTAGTATGCATGCATGTGAGCGGAACTACGCGCATCTTCTCTGATATTTCCAGGTTTTCCATGGCAGTGGGAACCCTGTAGATATGTTAAACGTGTGCATGCGTGCTCTAACCTCCTCTGGCATGACTGGCTCAGAGGAGCGGCTGATGGCCGACACCCGCTGGCGATCGAGCAGCTCGTCTGTTTCGTTATCTGTGTAAGTCCCGCCCTCGTCCGCCGTGTCATCACAGTCGCTGGTCAGCCGGCTGTCCATGCTGAGATAGTCTGCGCTCATGGCCGAGAGATACGACATGCGATCGTCATGAACGTCAAGGTCCCCCTCCGTCCCGTCCAGCTAAAAGAGACACATGATGGATCTTGTGTACAGAGAGGAGTGAAAACAAAAGAAAACACAAAAACAAAACAGAACGAAAGCTGTAGAGCACCACCGAAGAATGATGAACAGTAAAAGCACAGAAAAACAGGAGGAATGACTATCATGACTTTCAGGAAAGGAAGGCATGCATTAGCAGGTAAACTATGGGTTTAACTGTAAGGAAAACATTCAGGAATACTGGGAAAGATAAAGTGGGAAAATGTGATTGAAGGAGTCTTAAAGTAAAGAGATGCTGTAAAATGTTGCATTAAAGTCAACATAAAAAACATAATTGATTTATTTTTTAATGCACATTCCTGATCTGTACATGTACATTATTCTGTACTGTACATGATTCATCATGTGTTAATATTTTAGATACATTTCATTATATTTTCATTTAATTAAATATTTCATATAAGATGAAAACCATTATTAATTTTTGTCTTAACATCATAATTCAGTAATCATGGGGTAAATTTTAAATACTTGTTGCCAGGTGTGAAATATTCTTGGTATTTCCTTATTTAGTCTGTTTCTACTTTTACTCTTCATTTTCATCCTTTACAGAATAGCAAAAAAATAAAATAATAATAATAAGTTTAATAATAATAATATTATTATAAGCTTTTTTATTTTATTTTAATTTTTTAGCTTTTTTACATTATATTTAGATTTTTATAAATATATATTTTTATAATATTTTTCTATTATTATTAATGATAGAGGTACTGCATGATATGGCCTCAAATGTAAAAAAAACTAAAACAAAAAAAAAACCTTGCTCTATTTTATCATATTGACAAAATATTTTTATGTTAATATATAAATAATTAATATTATAATATTTATGTATTATTTATTATTATTATTACTTTAAGTTGTATTTTAAAATATATTTTAATATATCAATATTATATTTTAATATATTACATTAGCTATATTTTTATATTATAAATTAGAGGAACTGGTTAACAGGACTGACCCCAAAAAACCTTTGTAAATGTATAAATATAATTTTATAAAATACCTTTTATATAAAAACAATATTATTATATTTTTAATTTAGAAATGAAACTATACGAAAATTTCTTATCACGACGATTATAGTGACCAAAATTATCACGGTATTGTTAAAATGTGCTGGACATTTTCAAAAAGTACTGACACATAATAGTTACACCAAGTTTGATATTTAAAATCAACAAACAGCAAATCAAATTACTTTTTGTTTGCATAATCACTAAAACAAATAACATTACCAATAATGTCTGTATTTTAAATGACAACATGACTGACAACAGTTTATCTAATAACATGTACGAAATGTTCAAATAAAGCTTTGAAAAAGTTTCATAAAATGGTAAACCTCACATTTCAGCCTTTAAATAGAGAAAAGGGTTACGTCAAAATAATTGATTAATAAATGATTATATGTGTTTTATCTGCTCCATAAATAATTCTAGATTCATTATCCGAATTGTTTAAATGTGTAGATAAACTTGTTTTTCATCAACTGGTCAAAATTTACAGCAGGGCATGCAAATTCAGTCCGTTTTATGGCCAGACAAAAACTGCACACAGACTGAATGTAACTCTCTGTAAATCCACTCTCTGACTCTAGGTGGCGCTTATGAAGCTGTTTCCCGTAACCTCCGTGGACAAAGAATTGCAATAAGAGCACTACTTTATTAGGTATTACATGGAGCG